AGCAGAATTAGTAGCACTCTAGTACTTGTGACTAATCGTGGGGAGACATAGCACCCTGATTGATTGAAGCGTGAACCCCAGGTGACAGCTGCAGCAGTCTGCAAGTCATTATGCACATTACCCTTTGCATCATAAAGGCTTGAGTGCTAAGACAACCGGATGGAATAGTCAGTATCTGTGTAAATTAGGGATGCACCGATACCGATACTAGTATCGGTATCGGTGCCGATAGCGAGTATTTGGGTGAGTACTTGTACTCGCCCAAATGCTCCAATACCTAGCACAAGTACTTCCTGTATCAGGAAACCGGGCAGCGCATCATTACACGCTGCCCGGTTTCCTGATTGGCCAGGAAACGGCTCCATGCTCTCACTTGTGATGAGAGAGCATGGAGCCGACTTCCCGGCCAATCAGGAAGCCGGGTAGCGTGCAATGACGCAGCACACGGCATTCTGATTGGCTGGGAAGCCGGCGTCATGCTCCCTCGTCATCTCATGAATCATAATATTAAGAAAGTGACCTTAACGCATTAGTTTGTATTGCTTTAGAAAAAATTTGACCTGTCCCTTTAAGAAAAAGTATCGGTATTTGGTATCTGCGAGTACTTGATCAAAAGCATCGGTACTCGTACTCGGTCTTAAAAAAGTGGTATCGGTGCATCCCTAGTGTAAATTTAGGTATACTGTAAAATAGCTTTCATATGGAGTACAACACTAAAAAATAAATACAGGAAGAGATTTAAAGACTCACTCCCTGCACTATTAAAAACAAACTATAAATGTCTTCAAAGTATGTATGATATTAAAATTGTAACAGAGTTTGATGAAAGAAACTTGCCAGAGGTCAGTGTGTTTATATATTCATACATGCTTGTTGCCACAGCAACCATTGCAAGCTTCCATTTTTTGGCAATTAACAGAATGATCAGATTAACAATGACCCTCGGAGAACTCCAGGCAAAGAAATCTGCTTTCATGTATGAGCTAACATTTCTGTGTTGTGGTTAAAACCCAGACTAGACAGAAGAGAGGAACTAGAGTTTAGAAAATGTGCAGGTTCGGGTCTGCATGTAACCACGTGTAACTGCGTGCAGCCGCATCCTCCCAAAGGAAAGTACTGGCTGCTGCACGCAATTATGCGCAGCCCCTGTCCCTTGCAGAATCGGGTCTCTGCATGGGTGTGCACACCGTACATACATGCATGCCCTTGCGAATGAGCACTTAAGATGCCCATACACTGGTAGAATTTTGGCCAGTATTTAATGTACCGGCTAAAATTCGCACAATGTGGGGCTGTCGGCTCCCTTTCAGCCGCCATTCCTCGATCAGCTTATCAAAGGAGTCAGCTGGAAAATATTTGTGTGATCAGAGTTGGCAGATAATGAGCTGCCCGCTCTGAACGGTATTCTGATTCTGACAGGTCCCGGCGGCACCTGTCAGAATACAAAGGTAAACAGTGGGATTCCTCGATCGACACGCTGTTAGTGTTGATGGAGGAATCGGGTCGATCTTTTTCGTTCAAACGGAATTAAACGGAAAAAAATTATAGGTGTATGGCCAGCCTTAAAGGAGAACTATGAGGTGAGTCCTTTTCACACTCCGATCCTCCAGCGCTGACTGGCGGAACACACGGGGGAGGGGGCGGGTACAGCTGGCTCTGCCTCTAGATAGGCAGAGCCAGCTGTCACTCACGCAGCTGGGCGGATCCAGACATAATTGTCGGGATCCGCTGCGGCGTCTCAGTATACCGCGAGCTGTAGCCCACGGTATACTGCGGCATCTCAGTATACCGCAAGCTACAGCTGAGCTACACTGAGCTTAGGGTGACGGGAGGGCACTAGTTTGTGTCCTCCCGTTACCCTAAGGAGAACTATGGGGAAAAGCCCTAACCCCGTAGTTCTCCTTTAAGCACTCTCTTATACTTAACCTCCTCCTCCCCCCATCATTAATCCCCAGAGAAACCACTTTCCTCTCAACACTTTAAGAGATAGTGTCACTTTACCCTAAATGGGTCAAATAAAGCCCCCTATTTACCCGTAAAGTGCTCCTACCTCTTTCACTGCTGGCCCAGAATACTTAGAAGGAATCTATTAAAACTGGAGCAGACAAAATCTGGAGCAGCAACCAATCAGCCTCTCCCTTTAATTTTCAGATCTTAACGGAACAAACCAAAGAGAGAAGCTGATTGGCTGCCCTGGGCAATTGCTCCAGATTTTGTCTGCTCCAGTTTTGATAAATTCCCCCCTAAGTGTTTCTGAGTATGGGAAAGCACCTGACCCCTTTCCATAATGCAGTGTTCAGGCCTATCAGCCATTTTCTAGACCTGAGCACTGTCATATGACAGTGGGGGTGAGGTCAGGGGCGGACTGGGCCGGGGGGCAGGGTGGCAATTGCCCCCCGGGCCTCTCTGGTGCCTGTATAAACGGCCCCCTCTGGCGCAGCTGCAATCGCTTTTTTTCCTCTATCGGCCGCTCTGCTCCTGCAGCAGCCGAAGAGGAGAAGAAGCTCTTCGGCTGCCTTTGATTAGCCCGTGTAGTGTTCGGGCTCAACGGCAGCTCCCTCCGCCCACTTCTTCTGCCATTGGCTGGAGGAGGCTGCACTCCTACTGCCTGTCTGCTGGGTCCTAAAGGGAGGGCAGCAGGAAGTGGCTGGAATCCCCTGAAAACGTGCAGGCGACCTCACTGCTCCCCCCACCCCCCACCAGGAGAGGAAAAGAAGATGGCACAGCACCTGAAACAGGAGAGAAGAACCATTGTAAGTCCCTTACTGCTGCACTGCTTTACTGACCGCTGCACTGCGTTACTGACCGCTGCACTGCATTACATGCTGACTGATGCACGACTTTACTGACCGCTGCACTGCATTACATGCTGACCGCTGCACTGCATTACATGCTTGCCGCTTACTGCGTTACATGCTGACCGCTGCACTGCATTACATACTGACGGTTGCACTGTGTTACATGCTGACCACTGCACTGCGTAACATAGTGATGGCTGCACTTCGTTACATGCTGACGGCTGCACTGCATTACATGCTGGTCGCTGCACTGCATTACATGCTGGTCGCTGCACTGCTTTACAAACTGACCGCTGGCCTCTGCACTGCATTACATACTGACTGCTGCACTGCGTTACATGCTGACCACTGCACTGCGTTACATGCTGACTTCTGCACCGCATTACATGCTGACTTCTGCACCGCATTACATGCTGACCTCTGCACTGTATTACATGCTGACCTCTGCACTGTGTTACATACTGACAGCGGCACTGCATTACATGCTGACCTCTGCACTGCGTTACATTCTGACCACTGCACTGCGTTACATACTGACCGCTGCACTGCATTACATGTTGACCTCTGCACTGCGTTACATGCTGACTGCTGCACTGCATTATATGCCACTGACTTCTGCACTGTGCATTACACCACTGACCTCTGCACTGTGCATTACACCACTGACCTCTGCACTCTGTGTTATAAACTCTTCACAGAAACAGCAGAAGCGGAGCAAGACTGGGCACGCATGCTGGGTGACAGTCCTAGTTAGTATTATTACACATGATTTTTGAAAGCCTTCAAACCAGGGACGCACTGATACTAGTGTTGGGGAAAGTGCCCTGATACTAAAAACCGATACCGGTGCTTTCATTTTTCAAATTGATTTGGCTGTGTTAGGTCCCACGTTTGCTGGGGACCATGCAGCAGCCTTCTGGGGAACCACATGGTGCCTGCTTACAGCTCTTCGGCCACCCACACATCCCCCATGCTAAGACCCTCCCCACCCCTTCTGAGACCTTCCACACCCCTCCTGAGACCCTCTGACCAAGACATCAGACTGACATCCCAGAGCAGAGCAGCAAAGAGCATGTAGCAATTTAATATACTATTATTCTGCATTGCTGTATAATGTATTGCTGGGATTTATAGTCCTCTATAGCTGATGGTATTATTCTGCATTGCTGTATAATGTGCTGAAATTTGTAGTCCCTATACAGCTTGAAGTCAGTCACAGAACTAAAAGGGGTGCAGCGGTCGCGTGCGTGCACAGAACTGACAATGCATCCCTCCGCTACCAGTGTGCTATAATTTTCCTCAACCCAGAAATGTATCTGCCGCGTCACTGGCAGGTGCGCATGTACATGAAGAAAGGGGGTCATGAAAACATCTGATTCGAATGACGAGGCCCCACCGTAATTGACGTGGTCGACAAAATTTATGGGGTCGAGAAAAATTATAGAACACTGACTTTGGCACTGTCCGGCTCCTCCCACAGCTCACAGCCCAGAAATCCGGCGGCCTACAGTGGGTGAGAGTGCCTAAGTACCGGACATGGAGCGGAGTAAGGCCAAAACCATGCAGGGAGCCCAGCAGCCCATCCCACAGCCAGTCACCCCTTTCATGAACTGACTAGGAGTCCTCACATCACCCGACCATTCACACTACCGTAACATAGATGGCAAAAGTGGCAGGCAGGGGCAGGGAGAAGAGGCAAAGCGGGAGGGGGGCCAAGTCACTGCACCATGGGCCTCTGGGTTGTACTTGCCCCCTGGGCTAAAAGTTGCCAGTCAGCCCCTGGGTGAGGTCACCATACCATCTATGCTATGACGCAGGGTGACACTGGTTATCTCAGTGGCAACTGTGACAGAGGAAGGAGCAGCGGGGACACACTTGAGAGATTAGTATCAGTAGATGGTAGGGAGCCTTTAAACAGACACTAGTACTTTGCACTGAATGTGGTCCATGCAGAACATTGGCTTTTGATGTCACCCAATTAAAACAAATATATATATTGTTGTAGTAGAAACATGTACTCCCTGGCTAAAATGATCAGAAATGTGTACTCCCTGGCTAAAATTATCTTCTAGCTTCTGGATTTGACTTTCTGGCTTTTGAATTGCACATTAATTTGTCTACCCCGGGTTATTACAATGATAAAAAGAAAGCTTAACCTTTTCCAACTTATTAATGGTACCATTTTCTGAAATTGCATTAGCAGTTTAGAAAGATGAGCAGTACCGGAGAAGAAAGGTCAGAAGGAAGTGACTCTTCTGCAGAAGAGGAGGAGGAAGATGTGCAGGAGAAGCCTTTGTATGCTTTAGCTCCTTTAAGCACCCGGGAGAAGAGCCCAAAAGATGTGTCTGTGAGTCCAGCCTTTCAGTGTTTGGATGAGGTAAGGAAGGAATTTTAAAATAAGTTTTTAAAAATACTGAAGGATGAGCAAAAAAGATAGAGCCACATCACTGAACTACACAGAAAGACAACTACTCCTACATTGTAGGTTGATCAAATCCATTAATATTTAGGATTGCAATGCAGGACAATACAGTTCATTACACTGAAACACAATGAGAGTAAAATAACTAAAAAAATAATTTACAAAAATGTGCACAGGGTTCCTCAGGAAAGTTACACTGAGTGGACTTGAACCCTCAGTCTCCTGGTAGGACTTTCTCTTTAAGGTTTCCTGGGATTCGATCGTGCTGCCAGCTTCAAGTACTTGGAAATAAAGAGTCACACCAAGTTGTGTATTCACTCTATATGCAAAGGTTTATTGTTAAAACAAAGGGTTATATGTGAAACTAAAAAGGGGATGGCAGAGCATAAACCAATTAAAACCATGCACGTATACAAAACTACAAGACTACTCATGATAGTAAGGATCATGAGACAACCTTCGGGAGGATTTATAAAGTAAACAACAAGAAGACAAAACCAGAGATAAGAGATACAATTTGCAGAGTCAAACATTTTAGAAACCTCTCAAACTGGTTTCTGTGGAATATACTAAAAAAAACACAAATTTGCTCGCTCAGACATCAACCATGTACAACCTAGACACAGGCCAATGAAATCAATCACCCTTTCACACATTTCACCCTTTCATTCATTTTGATGGTGGATTACTTAACCCCTTCATGACTGAGGCCTTTTTTTCATTTTTTGTACCCTTGTTATATTCCACATTTTAGGCCTGAAAATTACTTAAAACCCCCCAACATTATATATTTTCTGAATGCCAAGACCCTATAGAATAAAATGGTGGTAGTTGCAAATTTTTATGTTGCGCAATATTAGCGCAACTCCTTATTAAATCCCAATATTTAGTGAAAAATTTAATTAAATGCCCCAAAACACAACAAAATACCCATTTTTGCGGGTGGGGGGGGGGGGGCGGCACCTTCTTCGGGACGCAGAAGCGATCTGGCGACAGGTAAGTCGCCAGGATCGCTTCTGTTGTAAAGCCGACAGTCGGCTCTACAAGTTTAAACAGAGTCCCGGCGGCAAAAGTTACGTCGTCAGTCACGAAGGGGTTAAAGCATTCTAGCCCACCCTACCTCACCTGAGTGCAGAAAGATGAGAACCAGTGTCAGGTTTTTAACACTGTCCCGGTCTCGATTGGAGAGATTTACTCTTACTTCCTGTCCCGCTGACAACAGTCTACACTGGAAGTGACGGGAACTTCAGACATTGTTAGTTTGAGAGTTTCCCACACTTCCTGTCTGGAAAAATGAACCCCTTTCAGTGCTCTGTCAGATTTTTATTTTGGTCTGTGTCCCTATTGCAGATCTTCCCTCACTTCCTGCCTGGTGAAACCATTGTCAGCAGGGCAGGAAGTGAGAGTAACTTTTTCTAACAGAGCCTCACATAGCAGTAAAAACTCTCCAGTGCAGTGTATGTGCTCCCCCTTGTCGCTTGCACTTCCATTTTTCCCTGGTCTTTTATTTATTGCTTTTGTTATCTTGTAAATCTATTTTTATTGCATAAAATTATAGTTGACAAACCTATAAATAACATTACACATACCCCACCAGTATATCATGACAGTCAATAGTAGTTAATTCACAGAAATAAACACATATTACCATGGTCCTAGTACGGAATAGCCAATTAGCCATGATAAGCACAATACCGGTAGATCTTAAAACATTGTGTCATACACAATAGGTGCTCAGCCTATGCAAATATAGACATAGCAGGAAAATACAAGGTAATACTGTCTATTAACGAAAACAAAAGCCAAACAAAAAGAAAGAAAAAAATAGCAACAATGACAACAGAAAAAGAAATGAACAGACCAAGAGGGCTAAAAGAGCCGTATGGAGCAACAGATTATATGCTTAAGTAATATGAAAAACAACGCTGAAGGGAATTTTTTCTTAGCTTCGTGAATGAGGCGAAAACTCACTTTGCCAAGAATAACCAATCATGTGCAAGTTAAAAACCCCAAAACCTGTAGTTTTGCTTGCACATGGTTGTATGAGGGAATTCAGCAGAGTTTCTCCTCATTTACTAAGATATGGGAAACTTCCCTTACAAAGTGGACATCCTATTTGTCTTTAGTAAATCAACCTCTGCGTAAAAGCATACATTTAAAAAACTTGCAACACTTGTTCTTACCACATGATGGCAGTAACAGCTTGAGCTACTCCAATACATTTATCACGCGGAATGTCGCGCTATAGCTACATGAACAAATGTTTAAATATTTTTCAACTTTTTGGAAGCAGACATTAATATTTGATCCAATATAATAAAACAAACACAGGCTTATGAATCTGTTTCAAGTTATCACAGGCAGTTATCCTGTTTTCCAACTATGACTACATACTGCTATCTAACACTGCGTTGGATTGATTACTGCTTTATGGTGTAAGTTTTTCTTCAGGGGTATATTATATAACACAAGGATCAAGAAGCATATTTGTATCCAGATTACTCTGCATCACGTTTATGTCTTTTTAATAAAATAGCCAAATACTGCGTGTGTACAAATTATATGCAAGAAAGTTTTTTTTCATACTTTCTCTACTGATAACTGTGTGAAATGATGTACACCTGATAGTCGTGTTCTTATATATTGTTTAGGTGGGGTGAAATATATTTTTAAGGGACACATCAGCACATATAGTATGTGCAGCTCTTACTTTCATGATATGGACATCCTGTATCTGTCAGATTTGCTCATGGTGGCTATGGTTATGAAGATCTGTTGCCAGTCCGGCCACATGCCCCAAGAAGCAGAGGTCTCCGGTAGCACCCTCTGAAGATGTATATGCAGCCAAGGTTGTTTTGGTGTATCAAAATTGGAGGATAAATGTAGGCCTTAGTTTCTGGATAGCCTAAAGCATTATATTTTCTCTAAAGGTTGCAGGCTTACCTGGCTATATGTAATAAAAAGTTTAATTTCCTGAAATGCAAAGGACATTCTAATTATTTATGTTGCTGCTCTCTGTGCAAGAAATATATGTGGATTTTGGGAAGACACAGAATGGTCTCCCAGGGGCATAGTGTGGGGGAGAAAACACTGGGGCAGATGTCCTGGGCGCCAAATTTATAGTGGCACTGCAGGCAGCAGGGCCGCCGATAGGGGGGTACAGCTGGCCCTCCTGTACTGGGCCCAGGTCCTATCGGTTTAGCAGGGGGGCCGGGCTTGAGTTGGAAGCTGCTGCCCACTACTGCTCTGGCACTCTCCTCTCCCCCTTGGGAGCCAGCTGCATGCTGGGGTCTGTGCCCCCTCTGATCCCTGCTGCTCTCCTCCACATGTATTGTCAGAGGCAGCGGGGATCAGAGGGGACACAGCTGATCCACCACCAATGCCCAGTGGGGAGGAGATAGCAGTGACAGAGAGAGTCAGGATGCTGAGTGAGACTGTTAGGATGGAGAATGGGTTGGTGCCAGACGGAGCTTCAGGATGCTGAGCGCAGGATGAGCAAATATGTGTAATATTTGCTGATTCTGTACTGAGCAAACATCAGTGATCAGTACTGATCAATCTGGTGTTTGTAAATAACAGAGAAGATAGTAACTTCTTACTATGTCCCCAGTTATGAATGAACAGGAAGGGCTACACATCACTTCTTGTTCATTCAGGATTAGGGCAATAACAAACAGTTAATATCGCCTTAGTTTACTGAGGAGCGGTAGGCGGGCTCAATACTTGCCTTGCCCTGGGCACTGACAACCCGCCCTACGCCACTGGGGCCTCCCTCTCGCTGAAACACATGGCAGAAAAAGTAGCATTTTCACAATTTACATATACAGCCCCCCTCCCCCCACACGCTGATGTGTTCTTGTAATGCAGGTCCTACATTGAGCTACATTAATACAAATTTCCACTTTAGCAGCCAGATTTGGATAACACCTATTTTATATTTTTTACATGTTCCCATTCACATTGCAAAAATTAAATGTAACACTTTAAAAAAAGTGGTTTAAATTGCTTTTTGCTAGCTAACATTTCACCTTGCCTTTCCTTATTTGTAATGTAAAGGTGCCCATACACCTTGCAATTATCGTACGATAATCGCGGGAAATCCCGGGATCGTACGATACTCGCAAGGTGTATGGAAGGCGTGCGACCGTTTCTACTGTACGGTCGCACGTCTTTTGTCGAAGGAGCATGCTATAAAACCCGCCCAGAATCGTACGATTGTCGGCGGGTTAGTGGCGTGCTCGTTCGACAACTGCGGTACAGGCCGGTGTGCGCACGCGCATACTGCCCGTTCAGCATTGCGGTCATCGGAAGCCCGCCTCTCAGCGGGGCGGGCTTTCGATGATCGCAAGTACGATCTGCCTGTCCAAGATGGGCAGATCGTACAAGCTTTGAATTAGCTTACGACCATCGCAAGACAAAAGTCTTGCGATGGTTGTAAGGTGTATGGACACCTTTAGGACGGGATGTGAGGGGTTTGTGTTAACCCTGTCTGTACTGTGCTGGCTGATTTCATTATAATTTGTAAAGTAAATTTGAACACTGCCTGCACTTACAAAAGGTTACTGGAATAAAAGTCTGGCTTCTGCATTGTATTTTAATGAGAGAAACACATTCCTGTCCTAAGTGTTTCTATAAGGACAGGTTACTGTGAAGGTGATCAGAAATACGATTGCAAAGCACTTGATCACTTCCCCTTTGAAATAGGCACAGAGCACAGATAGGAACAAACACAGATCCACACACCGCTTCTTCCTCCACATAAAAAACTGCACAGTAAAGTTTTGTTTACTCAGAAAGATGCGGTCTGTTTGTTCACATACTGTGCTACGTTTTGAGGTGTTGCCCTATAATGACCATAAGGCGTGGACTATATACATTAGTCAAACACAGTGGGGGGAAGTTATCAATGCAATTGTGACAGTTTCAGCCTCTTAGATCATTTTTTAAATGTGCAA